AACGTTTCATATATGGTCGAAGTAAAAAATCGTTCCCACTACAGTTGCGTCTACTCTTCCAGTATTGGCAGTATTCCTCAAGCTTATTTGGTGAATTTGTTCAAACGTTACAACAACAACTCACGATAAAAAAAAGTTTAAAATTGCTAAGTTTCAACTATCCAAAGTTCGAAATCCCTGTCTGGTGCATAAAAAAATGAGAAATTACGAAAAAACAATAGATTCCTATTTAAAATTTTAATATATTTTTATTTATCTTTGCGCAGTTAAACAATTTCAAAAAATCTTTCAAGATGGCATATCTGTGTTATTAATTGTTATCACAGTACCGTAATTTAAATACAAATATGCATTTCTAGCTTTGCATCACACATATAAGTACATACATATGTCCCCATCTGCACAACTTTTTGCAAATTAAATACCTCAAAATGTGTCACCCTGAATAGTGTGCAATTTATAGCCAGCCGAAATATGAGCGCGTAGCGTGTTTCAAGATGCGGATATTTATGGCAGACAATGTGATTAAATTTGTGTGTGTGTCTGTGTATATCAGGTTATATTTGTGGACTTAATTAGGCCAAGTGTATGCACAACCAAAATTACTATTTTCGTCCGTCGCCTCCGCCGACGCGACTACTATGAGACGGTATTTCAGTTGAAGGTTTAACGCCCTGTTATTATTCCCATTATTCATTTCATTTTTGGTAAAACGATTCATTTCAAGCTTCATTACATGGCGTGCGCGCTCATTCTTAAGTGTTAGTGACATGAAGGGTATGATTGAGTAGTTTTGTGTGTTTGGAAACAGTTCGAAAAAATAGTAGCGAAAATAAACGTGGTGATGCCGAATTTTTGACAAAAAAAATTAAATATTTTGCGAGTTATTCACGATATCCACGGCATTCAAACAAGGGTCCTCCACTGCTGCAGTCATTCTGGCCTTCTTTATGGATGAAACCTGAAAAAATGCTTACTAGTAAATTTTGTCTGTACAATGACCAACGGTCGAAAAAAATTAAAAATTTACAAAATGGCGATAATTAAAAAAAAGTTGAATTTAACACAAAATTTTGGTAATTTGTTGATTATCCAAAAATTAGTTTTTTGATTAAATAAACAACAAGAAAAAACGTTAACTTCGGTTGCACCGAAGCTTTAATACCCTTCACAGATACAAATGTTCCTTACAATAACTTGATTCCAATCTAATTTCGTGAAGATGCCTCGTCAAATAAAAAAATTTTCCATGCAGGCACTTTATTCCGGCCGTTCAATTTATATGGCAGCTATATGCTGTAGTGGTCCGAGATCGGCCGTTCCGTCAAATGAGCAGCTTCTTAGTGAAAAAAGGACAGGTGTAAAATTTCAGATCGATATCTCAAAAACTGAGGGACTAGTTTGCGTATATACAGATCGACGGACAGACAGACGGACATGGCTAAATCGATTCAGCTTAACATGCTGATCATTTATGTATATATGTTATAGGTTCTCCTTCATTTCCTTCTTGGTGTTACAAAATTCGTGGCAAACTTAATTTACCCTGTTCAGGGTATAAAAAGTGGTATGCGGTATATACAGAACATGCAGTAAAATTTGTCATTTGCTTCCGAGTTATCACTCACGCAAATTTATTTTATCAAACTTTTACTTTTAAGAAAAACGCGTTTAAAGAACAGTTCAGAAGGCTGTAACTCGAAATCTATTTGAGATATCGTTTTAAAATTTTAGTATGTTGCCTCTGAAGGTATTACCTATCGAAATATGAATCATATTTTTTTACCAAAATTCACACTAGGTTTGCACCTTAAAATATGCATGTGCAGAATTGAGTTTCCACACATAAAATTTAAATTTTATTTTTATTTTTTAATTATTTATTTTTATTAGTTTTTTATTATATAATGAACAAAATGCTCAGAAAAATTATAACTAAATAAAATCAAGTATAATTTAAATATATATTGGTTTACTAACCTGAACTGTTAAAATTGAAGCATTGCAACGCTATGAGCATATCTAAAATCTAATGTTTGGATTGATGTCTTTGTTAAAAAATAAAAAACGGATGCCAGTATCCGCCAGTAATCATCCATTTTATATTAATTTGAATTTCTATCGAAATTATTACTGAATTTCCCACACTTGAACTTCTTCTAATTTTGCTGCGCATCTTTAACATCCACTGTAGCAATTTAAATCAGCAGTAGTGGCGCAACGCAGCTGTTCGTGCTGTCAATAGTCGAGGCATGCAATGATAACGAGATTTTCCCAAGCACTTATAAATATCTAAAAGAAAACATGAAAAGCAAACAAATATATTCACCGTTTAGTATTCGTAGAAACAAAATTAGACGCTACGTTTTGTCGAAATTTCGCGCATGCGTGCATTGGCTTCCGAATGAGTCAACTGCCAGCTTCATCGCTTTGTTATATTTTCCGGTTTTTGGGTATATTTTTATTAACAAATATTGTATATCTTGAAGTCTTCATCATTAGCGAGTTCTCGGGTCGTCTAATGGCGATTCTCTGGCAGTCGTTGGTGGTTGCTTGATTCGCAGCTTTTCTAACTTTCGCATATCGGTAACTCCACAGAGTTGCCAGCGGGTGTTTAGTTCAGCGGCTGCTGCATTTGCGAGTTACTTAGTGTTGGTGACTTCTCCTTGATAGTTTGACTTGCGACAATTATTATTTTTTATTTTTTCTTTGTCTCGCTGATTTTGTTTTCTGTTTTTAATTTCATTTACGGTGCTACCTTTTGTTGTTTGCGGCTTTTCACACGCATACATACACATCTTGTCACTATTTATGTGTACTTTATCCACGTTTTCCCATAATTAGCTCGTGAATATTTCTAGTTTAACCTGAGCTGTGACGGTTCAAGTCACCTAGCAAGTTAAAGGCATAAACTCGAAGTTAATAAGTTGAAAAGCTCTCACGCAATCGTTAACTTTAAAAAAATTCGATATATTCATAAATTTGCATTTATTATACTCGTGGAACATATTGCTACAGAGTACTTGTATAATAGTTTTGTTCACCTAACGCTTGTTTGTATCAACTTTAAAATAATCGAGTTAGATATAGGGTTATGTATGGTGATCAAGAAGATGAGACAAGTTAAGTAAAAATTGAAATATCCTAACGAAACTTGGTACACGTGTTCCTTGGTAAAAAAAGGCGCAATCGGAACACTGCCACGCCCACAAAACATCGTTAATCGATAATTGCCATAACTAAGCCGCAAATTAAGATACAAAACTGTAATTAGGTACAACGTATTGCAATAATGAGTGGCGAATGTGGTTTGCAAATTGTTTAAAAGTGGGCATGGCACCGCCTGCTAATTGGTTTAATATATATACCTTTCAAACTATTCAAGCTATATCACCTAAATTTGCACAGGACATAGCATTTCAAAAGCTCTTGCGGCAGCATGAAAATGGAATGGAAATGGATGGAATCGGATGATAACCACGCCCACTCCTCATATAACGGTTTTCTTAAAAACTATAAACAATAAATTTTACGTCCGAGATAACACAAAAGGACTTTACTGGAGCAGGTATAAAAATTTTATAATGGGCGTGGCACCGCCCACATATAGCAGAAATCACATATTTCCGGTCCTACTCGATCAATTTCAACCAAATTCGGCACATACCATAAACCTGATGATCCTATGTCTACTCGGTCTGCAGCCACGCCTACTTCCCATATAGCACATTTTAAATTCCATATGATTCTTTCACTTTCCTGTACACAAATGAAGCATTGTTTAATAAATATATCGGAATACAAATTTGCACGAATATTTCCTTTAAGGTATGCTGTCTCAGGTCAAAAAATTGTCAAATTGGATCATAACTATTCAAGCTCCCATATACCGGAAATGTGGAACTCAAAACTTATGGCTGACTTTTTGCCGAAAATATCGGCCAATCTGTGAGATATATAATTTAAATAATTTTCTATATAAAAAAAGTATATAAGAGAACCTCCGGACATAAGAAGTCATCAAACGCCACCCGTTTACACCTAAATGAAAGTTGATGTAAAAGCTCATGAGGTTTGGTTAAAGAAATCGAGTTTTCAAGTAAGATTTGAAAATGTCTCTTATTATTTTCTAGGGACTCAAAAATTTGAAACTTTTTTTGGGGTTATCAAGTTTTAATTTTATATTTATACTTTGTTTTATTGTTTATTCCTAATCTATAATTTACTCCAGTGAAATCTCAGCTTGTAGTTATGATTATTTCATTTGTTGAATATTTTGTTGTAGCATTTGTTTTTGTAACTTGTTCGTTACTTTTCTAAAGCAATTTACATTGAAAACATAAGTTGTGGGTATGCAACTAACGAGCTCGCGAAGCAGCCAACTAAATAAACATGATCCATCAGCGCGAAGCATTCATTCGTTAATTTGTTCAGTTGCTCGGCTGCGCAGATTTTCAATGCCTTTACCCGAATCATCTATCATTAAATAGTTGAATGATTGAATAGGTGGATAGATGGATGGATGAGTAGTGTGTTGTTGACTGTGCTTCACTGAAAGTATGTTTGTTGTTGTTATTGCTACTTTCTTGCACTCACACGATATGCCGGCGTGCCGTGAGTAACTTCACTGAAGCTCATCAAGCGCACAATTGGCGCCACGCATGCGCATGCACTTGCAACGCGTCTAACGACTTCTTCGCGCTGAATAAGCTACAAATATATATAGTTATATATATATATATACATAGATTCACATACTTTGCATATGCATATTGGAAAACTTAATAAGCATAATTTGCATGCATTAGCGCTGATCGCATAGCGCATGCACATAATTAAGACATAAATATATATGTACCATACGTATATATTTTGTATTACAAAAATAATTTTAAATATTTTATTATTTAAATAAATTTAATTATATTCATTTGTATTTGTGTACCTTTTTGTACGCCTAAGCATTTAATTAATAATTTTCTCTTTTTCTTCACTTGCAGACGCTTAGCGAAAAGCTACCAGCCCAAAAAGCGCGAGGAGGAAGACAACGAGTAAGTATACCAAACCTGCGATTAACTTGTATTACTAACACATTTTTTTTTATAAATAAATAATTTAATTAAATTGTTTGCTTCGCTTGTGTTGGCTTTCCGTCGAGTCCAATTTTGTTGCATGAAAGCACAATTAATAACAACATAACAACTATTGTTGCGTGCAACGCTCAACTCCAGTTGTTTTGTCTTCTTTTTGTGGTTTTCATTTTCGTAACAAGCTGGCATTTTTAAATTGTTTGGACTCGCGCTATTAGACGCAACAATGTCATGCACCAGTTGCATTGGCTAACCGCTTACTGCACATATTATTCATCGATTTTACTTAGTATTTCTTAGTTTGCTGATGATAATGTGAATTCATTTGTATGTTGTTTTTATACCCTGAACAGGGTATATTAAGTTTGCCACGAATTTTTTAACACCCATCAGCAAACGTTGGATACCCTAAAAATATAATATATAGTATATATAACATAAATATGTATAGGTAAAACTGTGCGGTATATTATTGAAATTCTGAGAGAATATTTTCCTCATAATAGTGTGCCCTTGAGTTAAAACTGGGTTAAATCGGTTCAATGCTACCACTAGACCCCATTTGCCCAATATACGCATGCTCAACTTTCCGAGAAGTTTTTTCATGACAGAAATTCGGAAAATTTGACTTCGCAGAATTAGTTCATTTACCTTCTGGTTTATTTTTCTTGTCGTCCTGCAGGCATTAATTACTTTTGAGTCATCAACAACAGTCTTCTGGAAATTTTCTTAATATCCCAATAATAAATAATCAAAATAAAGCACAGAAAAATATAAATTTATTAAAAAAGCCAATATTTTTGTTTTGTTTTTGGTTTTGGTCTTGATTTAAACCTTTTATTACATTTTGTGTTTGAACCAACGCGCCTTTATTTTATCACACACTGACATATTAATATCCATTTGGGACCAAATTCATTTAAAAAAGAAAATTTAATTATTCTGCTAGCAGAGCCGTTTATTTTTTTGGTTGCAAAGTGTTACTCTCTTAGTAACCAAATTAACGATTTCACTCCCAGATATGATTTGCAAGAATGGCTAGTGCCACACTTGGATCTCTATAGCGGTTATTTCTTACACCTTTTACTAACGATTTAACGACGAGATCTTAGCACTTAAATATATTGATTAAATCTTCCATTAGGGTGGCCTAGGATATCAGTTATCAGCTTAGTTGAAAATTTATGTTTAGTGAAAGGCAAATATTTTCATCTAAAATATCTCATATAACTGAGTACTTGTAAGCATATAGCATATATGATACCCTATATTTATATGAGGCCGTCATGCGCCCACTTATGGGCGTATAATCCAAATTTAGCAAATTTTATATTATTGCTTTGTTTTTTTTTTTGTGCAAATTATGGGCTGCCTGCCAATTTGTGCGTACTTTTCATGAGTTTTATATTTTTAAATAATAAAATGCATTTAAAATATCAGTCACATTAACTTGTGATATGCATGTACATATATACATATATATGTACTCTTGCATTTCATTTCTTGAGTATAAATTTTATTTCAAAAAATTTTATTTTTTGAACAAACAGGAATTGCGTAATTACTGTCCAAAAGAACAACAAAGAAATTACTTCAAAGATAACTAAAAAAATATGATTTTTTGAGTAAATTTTTTTAAAACTTTTACAAAACTATATTTAACTTTATTTAAAAGTTAAACCAATACCGTTAATTAGTTTTTGAATAGGAATAATTTTGAAATTTTTGTGCTTATGTATTTTTCACGTCTATTATTTTTTTTTCTTACTTGTTTTATAAGTAATTATACCAGGGTAAAAAATTTTTGAAAACAAAAAAAATCATAGTTAGATGAAACCCATCGGAAACGAAAGATAAAATAACAAACATTAAAGAAAAATTAATTTACGGGCGATCCGAGGTCGGGAAAAAGAAGAGGAGCGGCGTGATTGAATGTTTAAGCGTTAAAAACTGTTTATCTCGATATCCGGCAAAGCTACAAGTCTTGTTATATAGTACTGTTGTACGTATTGAAAAGATCTATAACTTCTCAAAATTTATAGTAAAAATTCAAATAATCAAATTTTTGGGTTTTTTCATTTTTTTCTTGTATACAATTTTTTTTTCCATGAAATGTGTGGTAAACTTACCGTGGTAAAGTTCCTCAGAATAGCCATTCTATATCAAAATGGCAATACAAATTTTTTATACACTCAAATATATATTTAATCAAGTCTGAAAAAGAGAAATACGTTTCGTTTTCCTTTTACTACGAGATTAAAATGTTAAAGTTGGATATTTTTCGGGCGGCTCTAGACTGCACGTAATCCAAAAAATTAATTAGTACTTGTTTATCAGCTGTGCAAAAGGCTCTGTATTTCACTTTCAGTTGCAAATATTTTGTTCAGTACTGTATTTATATTTTTTTATTAGTACTGTGGCCGTTTATAAATATCTTGCATTTTTTTTTGCTAAATTTAGTACTATATAATATTTTTAATAATTTTCCTACAAATATGAGTAAAAACATTTTATGATGTTAAAGTTTTCTCAGCCGTTGTTTGTCTGCAAATATTTATAATATAATTTTTAAATGCTTATTTTATTTTCTTCGCAACAATTTAGTTCAATGGCCATTTACGACGAGTACTTGAAAGTTGTTGGTTTTGTATACAACACTGGTCTTTTTTTGCGCCGGTTGCGAAAAATTACGCGCTTTTCATTTAAATATTTTCCATATTTTTCTCGCTGCTCTGGCTCTGCTTATGATATATGTACAAGGTGCAATTCAAAAGTTTCAGGACTTTTATTAAAAAACGAATATTTTATTGTTTTTTTTTTTTGAAAAATTTATTGGTCGCCTTCAAAATAGTCTCCTTCCACCTGAATACAACGTTTTGCACGTTCAAGAAGGTTATCGAATGACTTTTTTAGGTCATTTGTCGGTATAGCGTTGAGGATGGCGGTCGTCGCCTTTTGGATGGCATCAACGTCAACATAGCGGTTTCCTTTCATGGCCAAATGTAGTTTTCCGAACAAATAAAAATCGCAGGGTGCCATATCAGGCGAATAGGGTGAATCGTTGATGATATGACTGCGATTTTTGGTCAAATTGAATGAGGATTGAATTTTAAGGGCTTTTTCGTGTTGTTTCAAAGTGTGCGGGACAAATCGCGCACAAACCTTTCTGAGGCCCAAATTTTCTGTCAAAATACGATAAATCGACGCTGCGGATATTGATAATTCCGATTCCATATATTTAAGCGTGAGAATTTCCGTGTTTTTTTCGTTCACAACATCTTTTGGCCGGCCCGAATGTTCGTCGTCTTCCAAGTCCTCCCGTCACTCTTGAAAACGTTTAAACCACTCGTGAATATGGCTACGGGATAGACAATCATCGCCATAAACTTGTTTCATCAGTTGATGAGTTTTGGTAAAAGTTTTACCAAGTTTAAAACAAAACTTAATGTTGGCTCTTTGTTCGATGCTCATTTTCCGACCGACACTACAAATAAAATGTCACATGTAGCGCGATATCTCAGCTGTTATACAAGTCAGCTGTTATATAAATTTTATACGACAACACTGAAAAATACACAATTGAGGGATACAATTTCAGACAGATGGCGCCACTAGTAGCCGCGTTGTTTAAAAAGTCCTGGAACTTTTGAATTGTACCTTGTATATGGTACACAGTACTTAAATATTTACATACGTATACATATGCACATTTATTTTATTCGCACGCTTGTTTGTGCGTGTGCTTCGCCTTTGACGCAATTAGCCCGGTCGCTTTAGCGCTTAAGCGCGTGGGCGTTCGCTACTCGAAACATTCCACTTTTGTGCGGTTGTAAAATTTCATTAAAATTGTGAGAAATCGTGGAAACATACATACACATTAAATGTTTGTATGTGCGCCTGCATTTTATTTGCATAAACATATTTATGTTATATATTTTTAGCCAAATTACGCTCGTCAAAGTTGCGAAACTTGACAGCAATTAATCCATTTTTTCGCTTGTAAAACATCAAATTGAAGGTGTAATTAATTAGTTTTGTCGGCGTATGTTTCTAGTTCTTGTTGTTGTTGTTGGCATTTAAATGCTGCTTTTTAACTGTTTTGGAATGCAAAACGCTTCAAAAAAGCCTACTCACTCACATTTTCCGTTTCGCTGCTTCAATTTCATATGTGTTTGCATATTTCTCTATGTGTGTGTTTGCATACATATGCATGTATGCGTTCTTCAGTATGCACTTGCCATTTGTACGTTTGGCGCCACATCCAACGTCATGCCTCACATTCATTGCCTTTTTAAGCGCCGCTGACGTCATGTTGCTCATACGCACCAGCGTCTTGCCTTCATTCGGCTCTTGCTTGTGTGTATTTGCACGCTTCTTCGCTGCTTTACTCTTCATTTATGTAATTCTTTTACGTTCTTCTTGTGCCTCCATTTATGGTTGGCTTGTCACAATTTCGATTGACTTAATGCGCCCGTCTCTGTCAGCGGCTTAAGCGTGACAAATTGCACATAATTTGCATGGAATTTTCACGTTGTGGCATTCATAATGATTTGTAATGTTTTTTTGAGTGATTTGATTACGTTTTTCTTTAAACTGTAGTGGTATAGAAATTTTTTGTGTGGTAATCGGTTATACTTTGGGAAATGTTGAGAATAAGTGTGGAGGGTAAGTGCATAAGAATGTTGTGGCTCACTTATGTTTTTTTAAATATTCTGTAAATAAATTGCAGAAGTACCGTTATAAATTGCAATTGCGTTTATTAAAATATCTGTGATCACAAGAAGTAGAGTTAAGTGTCGGCAGAAGACACAACGAGTCTTTAGGTATAAATTCATGCCTTTCTTTCAAATCATGTGACACATAGACTTCTTTAAGGTTCCAATAAAAAAATTTTTTTCAAATGGAAAGCCCTTAAAGACAAACAATATGATTAAGTTTCAAAATTAATCAGAAAAAATTTTAAGTTGGAGACACACACACCTAACAAAAAAAGTCGGCCTTTTAAAATATTTTCTCAGTTCTTCAGCGTAAAAGAAACTCTCAGTTAGTTTATTTTTTCTTTTATTAACCCTTTGAAAGCCATGTATTTCATGTGGTTAGGTACATAGGTCATTCTTGAGATTTCAAAAGGGTCCAAACTTTAATCTTAAACACTTATTCTGAGAGTAACATAAAATTTGCTAGCTAAGTACTTTTTGGTTTTGGCTTTGCATAAGAACATTTTTCACACTTTTCTTGTACAAATGTTAAATTTTGTTTCAGTTGCACTGAAGCTATAATACCCTTCATAAAAAATTCCTTATTTTTATCAGTCAATTTGTATGGCAACTACATATACCTTCTGCTCAAATATAAACGAGACTGGCTCAAACAAAAAAACGGTTAATTATTCTTCAATATTTATTTTATCCCCTTCAAAATAGTCACCATTAGAGGCGATACACATATGCCACCTTTTTTTCCAATCTTCCTAACACTTTTGGTAGGCCGCTTTAGGTATGGCTTTCAGTTCCTTCTTCGAATTCTCTTTTATGACTTCAATCGACTGAAAATGCTTTCCACGAAGCGGCAATTTGAGTTTAGGGAAAAGAAAAAAGTCACACGGTGCCATGTCGGGTGAATACGGTGCTTGCGGAACAATATTTACGTTGTTTTTGGTCAAATAATCGCGTACAAGACGAGACGTATGAGCTGGATTTTGGAACAAGTCGAGCAGACACACGTCTCATGCCCAAAACATCGTGAATAATGCAATGAGCGGATCCATTTGATATGTTGAGCTCACTAGCTATCTCTCTTTCAGTCACACGACGATTTTCCAACACAATTTTTTTTACTTTTTCGACGTTTTCTTCGTTTATTGACGTTGCTGGATGACGATCATGGGGCAAGTTCTCCAGCGATGTACGGCCGTCCTTGAACGACTTATACCAATCAAAAATATGTGCACGTGACAGGCAAGACTCCCATGCCTTCTGCAACATTTTCATTGCGTCCGTCGCTCTTATTCCATTGGAATAACAAAATTTCAAACAAACACTTTTTGCCCAACGTTAATTTCCATAGTAAAATTCGAAAAACACACTCGAGGTTGACTTGTTTATAGTGCCGTAAAAAAAACTATGTGACAGATTGCGCTCAAATTTGACATGTAAACATATAACAGTCCTGCCAACCTAAGCAAAAAAAAGTATGGCCATATGTCATGTCCTTGTCGAGTTATGGATAAAGTCTCGTTTTGCGTTGAGCAGAAGGTATGATATAGTGATTCAATCTGAAAATTTCTTCGGGAATTGCACCGTTGCCCTAAGCAATAACTCATGCCAAATTTCGTGAATCTCATCAAATGAAAGAGATTTCAATACAAGCACTTTACTCCGATCCTTCAGTTTATATGGCAGCTATATGCTATAGTGGTCCGATATCGGCGTTTCCGACAAATGAGCAGCTTCTTGCGAGGACAGGGACATACATATGTATATATTTGTTTTATAGGGTCGCCGACGTTTCCTGCTGGGTGTTACAAATTTCGTAGCATTCTTAAATACCCTGATGCCCTAATAAATCCTCATCATACGTTCTACTAAGTAATTTACTAGAAAGCTACAGATGAATTTTAGGTGGATACGTGCGATAGTCCCCGAGTTATAGTTTCGAGAAAAACCTGACTGACTGACCTGCACGGTTCAACAGGAAAACTTTTCTTACAATTTACTAATTGTATAATCTTTTTAGGACAAACTACTTTAAGACTAAAAAATTTGGTTTTCAACCCTAGACCGTCGTAACCTCTTAAGTGCAAGGTCAACATTCCTTAAAGTCAAAATTTGGCTAATCGGGGAAATACTCAACTCGAACCTCAATTAAAAAAAACCCACTTGTAAATTTATGTTATCCCACAAGAGCTTAAAAATGTTTGAAAACTGCTGTAGATATTATTTTATTATATCAAAAAAAGTTCTGTTATACCAAGAAAAGTAAATTTGTTGTTTATTTCTGACATAAGACAGATATGTATGTATTTTCCAAATGTAAATAAATAATCCCCGACCTTTATAGTTCCACATTTGATTAACACTCAAAAAGAAAAAAACATTTTGCGGCTTAAAGCGGACTAGTTCAACAGTGATCGAAAAAGAACACGCCAGATTGGCAAGAAATCGTCCAGTTTTTTGCGAAGACCCTGTTGTAGTCGCTTTATATAAAAAAACATCAAGAATAATAATTTTGTCACTACCTTTCTCCCTTTATTTCTCTCACATAATAGATATTAACTGTAATATATGTATGTCAACAAATTATTATGTATTGTAATAAATATACATTTATATTTCCATGTAAGTACATACATATGGATGTATTTAGTCAATAATTGCCAGTGGCAACTTACGTTCCACACTAAATGCTCTCGCGCTCTTCGCTTACTATTTCCGCTTGCTCATTGGCAAGCGCTTTATTTTAACTGTAAATATTGAACACATTGTCCACACTCTCTGTGGGTTGTTTATGGCATATTCAACACACGCGCAATTTGCGCGCACAAGTAACGAGTAGCGAGTAAATGTTTTCAAATAAACTGACAGCATACAGTGCTTTTCAAAAGTCTGAAAGGAAATAATTACTAGAAGAAAATGAAATAAGTATTAATTTAAGACCGAAATAACCGAAATGAATAATTAATTGTTTATACTGATTTTTTTTTTTAATAAATAGCTGCTATAATTCATAATAAAAACCTTTTATTTAAAATTTTTTTCTCAAACAGATTTTCATCCTGCCAAGCTTTTCGCAATGTTTTGAAAGAAATCAACGACTTAGCGGGCCAGCGCGAAGTAGTTGCCGAATCACTGGAGCAACGCATCGTGCAAGGCATACAAGTGCTCTCCAAAGCGTTACGAGATGAACGAAAGGTAAATCTCTTGATTCGAAAAATAATAATTCATATAAAAATTAATTTCGCACTTATCTCTCTTTGCAGCGATGTCTCACTGAAGGCACATCCCTACAACAGACCCTCACCGCACAGTTGGGCGCACTCGATCGCGCCAAACGCAACTATGAGAAGGCCTTTCGCGAGTCGGAAAAAGCTGTGGAGAATCACAAGAAAGCCGATATGGATCTGAATTTAAGTCGAGCCGAAGTGGAACGCTATAAGAATATAATGACAGCGAAAATACAACAATCGGACGATGCGAAAAACGAATATGCTAATCAACTGCAGAAGACGAACAATTTACAAAGGCAGCACTACGGTGTATCATTGCCAACAGTATGTAGAAATCGTACAAATAATTTAGAAAAAAAAATATAAGCTAAAAAAAACTTTTTTTTACGTTCCACAGGTTTTCAATCGCCTACAAGAGCTGGATGAGAAGCGCACAGGCGGCATACGTGAGTTCATCATTGGCACAGCAGAGGTCGAATCGGCGGTGGCGCCTATCATTGCACGGTGTATGGAGGGCATTGTCAAGGCGGGCGAGTCAATAAACGAAAAGGAAGACTCCTTCAAAGTCATAGAAAGGTTGCTGTTACCTTCGAAAATAAATGTTTATCGAAGGAATGCTTATCTAAATTCTTTTTCACGTTTTTAGGTATCAATCGGGCTTCACACCACCAACCGACATACCCTTCGATGATCTGTCAAAGCAGAATCCCGACTCACCGTTAGATTCCCGTGTGCTTTCAAATCATTTCACCGTCAAGGGCACCATTAGCAAAGGCGTTAAGAAACGCACAGCGATCTTCAGCTTCTTCGGTAGCAATAAGGTAAGTGTGCGGCGTTGTATGAGGCAGGTGCTTGCGTTGAATGCACACATAACTCATTTTCAGAACACTTTTCCAATCTGAATGTTTAGAATGTGTTTCAGCGTATGACTAATTTTATTAAAAATCAATTGGCGTAGCAAATTTGTTGTAAAGGCATTACTTGTGTATGAAGTTAGTTATTAGGGAGGTTCGGAAGTTTGTGGAAGGTAGCTTATTTGTTTTTTTTTTTTTTTTGTTAAAATATGCGTCGTCGTAGGGTTAGTTGTCATTGAGTTGAAGTATATTGACATATTATATAAGATATATATACTTTTAGGAGAAATGTGTGTACTCTGTCTTGTTTTTTTTGTCGGTTTTGTTCTGTAATTGTTTTGTTTCGGTTTTGAATGTTTCTTAAAATATCCGTTAAATTAATGACACACATAAAGTCGGTTTTTATCTATTCTTATAAAAAGTATTTCAAGGAAAAAATGAAATTCAGATTATTTACGATTGCTACTTCTGCATTAAACATATAATATACGCCTCGTAGAAAACGTTTCTGAGAGATTCACAACTTCACATAGTAACAAGGAAATAGAAATAACCACTTCGTCGAATATATTGTAGAGAAAAGCTGTGGTATAGTAACACTATGTCTGATTAGAAGTAACACACAAGTTTCTCAAACCATAGCGCTCAGATTTGTTTATTTGTTTTCTAAAACTGAGGCCTTACTGTACTTTCTTCTTTGAGTATAATATTATTTAGTCAATGTAACTTTTCAAAAGCAGACTTTATTCTAACCTAACCTTAGGAGACGTACAATAAGCTATCTCAAAGTCGTATTATATAATTTATCTTTTAATTACGTCTTTCTCAGTTCATTTGTTTCAACTCTATTTTCTTAACTCATATAATGCTTTTCTTGTATTATTAGTTTTTTGTAAAGCAGCTTACTCTCTCCTCTCCCTTTTACATTTATCCTAATGGTACTTTTGTCAATACTTTACTTGAGTTTTATTTTCCATTCACATATTTTCGATGTCTCAACGCTTTGGTTGTTTTGTTTTCCCATTCCTTATGTATCTCATAATGTATTTATGTCTCTATTTCTTCCTTTTTTGTGTTGATTACCTATTGGATTACTGGGTATACTCTCGCGAATTTTCATATGTACACTACAACAACAAATAACGCAACTGACTTGCGTCTAACTTGCAAATTAATTGGATAAATCATAAATGTGTGTTCGCTCGTACGATTTTCGTTGCAAATACGAATGAATGTAAGTACCCGATATGCGTAGGTACAGTGCGTTCATAATGTGTGCGTACGTTTCTCATGTAGTTTTGTACTTGTCACTAAACTACTGCTGCATAATGAAAATGTTGTGACAATACGCGCGATATGTTGTGGATGCTAAATTTTTTTAAAACAACGAATTTTTGATAAACATAAAAATTTTAATTGGTGGTAAATATGTTGAAACACACCCCAAATCTACAACATGTCGTGCTGCGATTTCATCTACATGTATACTTTTCGTGCAGAGTGTCTTTTCACCTAACTGTGCAATGTTGCAACTTTAAGAAATTGTTCTTATTAAATAACTCATAAACAATTTTCAAAAAATTTCTTCACTTCTTTTTTGTTTGTAATAATTTGTTGTTGTTTTTTCTTTTGTTGGATGATGTTTCTTTTTTATATTTATGTGTTGTTTTTTAAACTATTTTGTTGTTGTTTTGTTTAAGTTTTGTTTGTAAGATTCTATTATATAAAAAAATATTGGATTTGTATTTGATAATATTACGACTTTTTTATTTTTAGAAATTATTATAAATCCAGGGGCTATTTGTGATTGGCTTTTTCCAGCTTAAAGCTTTACAATTAGACTAAAATTGGCTTTTAAATATTATTGTAACGTATTTATAGTTTTTGGTTTGTATCCAAATCCACAGAAAAATTTTTTATTTTTATAACCCCAAAAAGTATTACATATTATAAAGTACCAAATAAGTTTGCCTTTCCAACCTATAAATACTATTATGTTTTTAATATTTTATGTTTTTTATTTTTATCTCTGTTTAAAGCTCATATACCGCCATTTTTATACCATAAACAAGGTAGATTATGTTGCCACGAAGTTTGTAACACTCAGATGGAAACGTCGGAGACCATATAAAATATGCATATATATAAATGATCAGAGTGACAACCTGTGTAGATTTAGTCATATATGTCTGGCTGTTTGTCTGTATAACTAGTCCCTTCATTTTTGAGATATTGATATGAAATTTTGCACATGTCCTTTTCTCGCCAAAAAGCTGCTTGTTTGTCGGAACCGCCGATATCGTACTACTGTATCATATAGCTGCCATACGAACTGAATGATTAAAATCAAGTTCTTGTATGGAATCCTTTTTTATTCGACAAGATATCTGCACGACATTTGGCACAGATAATTGCTCATGACAAAGCAACAATCTCAAAATAATATAAATTTAATGGTTTGCAAAATAGAAAATATCATAAAAATTAAGACGAATTTCAAAATTAAAATACTAACTGGTTTTAAAGTAACTAGTTTCTTTCTACTTGCATCACTACTAGTTTAAATTAAATTCCAATGAATTGAAAAGTAACAAAAATCAATTTCCAAATATATTTTTAGCGCTAAATAAGGGTTTCTTCAACACACATCGGCTTTAGTATGAAAATTAGAAAGAAACAAAAAAAGCTATGCAAGTTTTTACCAGTGTACTACTAAAGAGAGCGACTGGTAGATGTTTACTTAGATTTTTCTTACATAAAAGTCCATTTTTTATTATTTGAGATTTTGAAATTGATAACTTTAATAAAATTAAATAAGAAATAAGACTTTTCACTTGTCTGAAGTAGTTACTTCCGTAACCAGTTTAAAAGTAACTAGTTTTATATTGATTTTGCAGAAATAAAATATTAAGCTGACCAATTATGAGTAACATGGTGCTAATTTAGGGCGTCATAGCAATAATATATACTTTTTTGATTCAATTACGAGTTTTATTAATGATAAAAAATGAAGTAGTATTAAAAACGACCTTTGAAAAAAACGACGGTCTTTGAAAAATCTTTAGAAAGGGTTAGATTCTCTAAAACACAACAATTTTAGGCCTACATTTATTGAAAACAAATAAGCTAACAACCTCATATTGCAATATAATATCTACCGTTATATTTTTTTCTTTCCCCTCTCTCTTCTTCAACCACACTTGTATTATTTTCACACTGTTGTCTTTTTCTATGAATGCGGCTTTATTTTAATATTGTCCAAATGTTTCTTGCAAAACGTTTATATGTATGTATAACTATGTATGCAACAAAAAAAAAAAAACAATTATTTTTTTTACTCTGCCAAAACAAAATTAATATTTTCTTACTTTTTACTAAACACAAATTTGAATTTACACTTACTTTTGTATCAACTACAACAACATACACTGCAAACAACAACAACTACAACAAAAACACACCATAAAATCACATTGCGTATTGAAACCACCCACCGCCACTCTCACAACGTACGCTTACGAAAATTATTGAAAATTTCATATATTTAAAAAAAAAAAACCGAAACAACTGAAAATCATAAACAAATGTAACAAAAACAAAAAACCAAATATATGAATAACAATGTGATACAATTTCAAAAAAAAAAAATATCTGTCAATAGCCACAGAAGATTTATGAAGCCTGTATCACCATGAAGGTATGAATGATTTTACGCTGCTTTTTCTAACTACTACCACTATCTGTATTCTAATTAACAAAATATTTAGCAATAATACTTCACTACCACTACTACTATTAAGCGTGTTGCAATTTATTAATAGCGCTAACATCTAACTTTTGCCAAAAAAAAAAAAAAATTATTCAAAATAGTTTTAACAGAAAAATAAAATCTTTGATCGCTCTTAAGAAACTTTTTCTGCTCTTAATGCCACCATCACGTTCATTGCAATTTTATTAAAATACACTTAACACTTTCTAACACCTAACACACACTCACACATCTACATTTATTGTAAACTGTCACATAAAAGCACGGGGTTTAAAAAATGGCGAATAGAAAAACTTATTGGTTCACGCTTTTCACTATTCTATGACACCTCTTTCTCCCACTTTGCATATTTTTATTTTCCACTTTTCTTTGCAAACGTTTTATTTAGCAAAACTGCACACTTACATATATACATATGTAGCTATAGGCTAAATTTTTTCAAATAACTTTTGCATGTGCTTAAATAAAAACCAACTTTTGGGGGCAAATTAAAATTTAGGAATTTTGTTTTTTTAAGAAAATAAAATATTTGACCAAAAAAAATTCGGATTAAAATTTTTTTATTATTTAAAAAAGAAACAAATTTTGAATAAAACAATTTTAAGTTTTTTTTATAATTTATTTTATAAATTTGAGGAAACCTTTTTTCAATATCATATTTGCACGCATTCAAAAAACACAAAAAAAAAATTTTTTTTATGTGTGTAAAAGCATTTGGCCAAAAATATTTTCAATAATAAACAATTTTGCAAAAAAAATTTGAAATCTTTTTTTTCTTATAATTTATTTAAGTTAATAAAATTCTATTATAAAAATATTTTTTTTTTAAATTTTGATTTCAAGTTTTGAATTCAAAATTAATTTTCATGCTGGTAATGTATTTATATTAATAAAAATATGACTAAACAATTTTTGAGTACACAAGATTTAAGGAAAAATATTTTCAATTTCTTTTTTGCACGCATTCACACAAAAAAATTTTTTTTTGTTGAGATAATATAATATAATTTTAGAAAAAATTGAGAAAACATTTTATATGTGTACAGAAGTTTCTGGGTAAAAATACTTTTGAATAATAAAAAATTTTGAAAAAATTTTTTTTTTAAATCTCCTATTTCTTATAATTTATTTAAGTTAACAAAAATCGAATACAAAATTTTTGAGAAAATTTCGATTTCAAATTTTGAGGAAAAATATTTCAAATTAATTTTTTTGTTTATAATTTATTTATATTAATAAAAATGTGACCAAAATTTTTTTTGATTAAAGAAAAAAAGTTGAAGCAAAACCTTATTCAAATCTATTTTGTTTTTATAATTTATTTATATAAATTTTCGGATTAAAATTTTTTTTCAAATTTAGTTTTGTTTTACATAATTTAATTTCTAGAGCAAGAATTCTTAGATTTATATTTAATTTAAAAAAAATTTAATTAAAAAAAACAATTGGAGAAAAGAAATTTTTTCCTAAAATTTGTTTGAAATTATTTTATTTTTTTTCTCATGTATTAAAACAAAGCAAATGTGCACTTTATAGCAACATCATAAGCAACACCACCGAAATGATGTCCAAGAGTAGTTGCGTTTTTAGTTATTTTTTCGTTTCGTTTGTACACCATTGTTTTTAGTGTTCGTTCGTCTTTATCTCATGTTTTTTCTGTTCCAACACAAGTTATATATGTATGTATATTGTATCTATTAATACGCCGTACGCACTTACCACCTCGTTATGTGGCGTAAATAGCAATATTATGTCTGTGTGTACGCATTTTCCGACATTTTAAACACCCCATTTAATTTCTTTCTTCTTCTTTCACATTATTTCCACCCACATAGAACTCCTTAACGGCGGACGGCCAAAAGGAAGACTTCAGCGATTTACCACCGAGTCAAAGGCGCAAGAAGCTACAAGCTAAAATTGCCGAATTGCAGCATAAACTGAATCAGGAGGTGGCCACACGTGATGGTCTGATGAAAATGAAAATGGTCTATGAATCCAATTCATCGCTGGGCAATCCGATGACAGTCGAAGGACAGCTGAATGAGTCCGAGCACAAAATGGAAAAGTTACGCATGGATTTGAAGAAGTTCCAAGGCTATTTGGAGAGTGCGAATCAAATGCCCCTGGCCAGTAATAGTCCGCAGGCGAGTCGCATACTCATGCAGAATGGACACCGAACATCAAGGTAAGTTCACAAAACACCTTTTCTATCTACATTTATATTTATATAATATTTATTAAATAATAATAATATTTAAACATGTATGCATTGTGCTTTGCAGACATTCCAATGGCAGTGCCGAAGATCACAACGATGATGGCGACGATCATGCCGATGATGGTGGCAGCTTAAGCAGGTCAGGTTCTGAGGATAATGTGGCGCAAATACAAAATGGGCATAATAATAACAATAACGGGTACACTCATAAGTCTATGTTGAAGAAAAAAATAGCTTTATATCATTTGCCAATTCACTTTTTCTATGCCAATTCACTTAAAGGTTTCATAACGTTTTTCATCAGTTTCATTCTTTTTCACAACTTTCTTTGCCCATCCTCATTTCAATGTTTTTGTATATAATTGTACATTTGTAGTATATCCCCTGTAAAATGCGCTTCTACACATTTACCTCGTTTTATTTTATTCACTAATGTTATTATTATTTACTAATTTGTATGTTTATTGTAAATTTATTTTTAAAACAAAAATTCTTTGTCCAGTTTTTGGTTTATTGTCTATTTTTCCGCACTAAATATCAAAACTATGCGCGATTGTTGTTGTATTAGCATTAAGTTCTACGCTCAAAGTGGAACTTCTATACCAGGCTTTTGTAGTGTTTGTGCCTTAAAGTCAAATCGGCTAAAAATGTTGGAAATAATCCACTAAAAAGCTTTAGTTAGATTCACGTGATTGAAGAACTCTTAAAATTTTAAATTTTTTAGGCGAATTTTAGAAGTTTTTTAAGTTTGGATACGGTTTTGAGGTTAAGTCTTAATATGTACTAAGTGAAAAAATAATTAAAATGTCTGTTAAAACATGGAAATTACACTGTGTGAATTTTAAAATTTTTTTATGCTGTGTTAAGATTAATCTGTATTTTTCACTTAGCAGTAATCGGGTTTGCGAATGTTTTAATTCACAAATTTGGGATAAAAAATAAAATTTTCATTTTTTAATCCCATTGTTGAGATGAAAAATTGGATTCCAAAATTGAAAATTTGATTTTTTAATTTGAATAAGGGACGCAAACGGGAAAAATTAACATTTTTCCTTTTTGTTTCTAAAACAATTTCTTTTTTTATTTCGTATTCATATGCTTGGTATTAAAATTTTAATTTTTTAATTAAAAATAATTTTAAAATTTCTAATCACAAATACCGGATTGAAAAATTAAAAAAAAAAAAAGATTTTAATCCCAAATACGGTATTGAAAAAAAATTTAATCCTAAATAAAAAAAAAAAATTAATCACAATTACTGTACTGAAAAAAAAAACATGTTAAACCCAAATTTACATTTTTAAAAATATTATATTTTTTCACCCTTACGTACTTCGTGTTTTACCATTTTAAACTCTCACAGAGCCAACACATTCAATATTCTAGAGCAGCGGTCGGAAAACTTAGACGTTCAAACGATTTGTATATAATCAATTTTTAGTTTGGGATTACAAATTTAAAATTTAACAAAATTGGCATTACAAATTTTAAATTTAATTTTAAATTCAATTTTTTTTTTATTAAGAAATTGGCAACACTGCTCTGGTAATATTTACTCTAATTTCTATGATTTTCTATCCATGAATCTGATACATGCTTTTACAACAACAACTAAAACTAAAAATATATCGGTACTGTAAACAAAACATCTTAAAAATTAAAATTATATATATACATATATATTACAAATATATTTTCGTCATATCCTTGTGTATTATTTCATGATTATTATCTATGTACCTATAGATCACTTTCTTCAATCACTTCCTACACTTGTTATATTACATCAATTATATTATGTTCAATTGTCAATGACCCCTCTCCTCAGTAATTTTTATGTGTAACTGTACAATATGTTTATCACCATTTCTCAACCAAATTCTGCACCATTGTAATTAATCATTTAATTTTCTTACAACTTTCGTACTCAAAATATGCCAATTTGTCACATTTTCTAAAATTCGAAAACAGTATTAAATTAGTTACTAAGTTTAACCATACCCATTCGTTTTAAATTCCAAACGAAATATTCGTTTCGTTGTGTTCTCTTTTATTTCATTTCATTTTTTGGCACTTCATTGCGCTTGTTTGCTGCGTCAAACCAAAACAAAACCAAAACCAATCATACGAAATGCTACACAAATTTCCTTTTTTGCATGCGCGGCTACAAAATCAGCAGTTCGGCTAGTCCCGAAAGCGGTTTGGGTACGTCGCACACCTCACTGCCGGGTTCAGGACAGGGTAGTGCGAACGAGAACGCCATCGGTGAGGACGACTATGATGGCGCGGAGATTGAGGTGCTGCAACCGTTGGGCACGTGTCGAGCGCTCTATCCCTTCGAAGGTGAGAACAGTTATAATTTAACCGCGTAGCGTGTAATTTTATAATTTTTTTTTAAATATAAATTTTGTTTTCTACCATTAGCGACCAGCGAAGGCAGCATACCAATGATTGAGGGCGAAGAACTGCAAGTCATTGAGATCGATCAGGGCGACGGTTGGACGCGCGTGCGCCGTGCCAATGCCGCGAACGGTTGGGATGAGGGATTCGTGCCGACTAGTTATATTGAATGTACACTGTATGCATAAGTCGTTTATATAATTGTTTAAAGATCTTTTTTTTTTAATTAATTAATTTTTAATTATTAATACTTAATTAATTTGCCTTAATTTAAGTTGAAAAAGAGTTGGTTTAGTTAGTTTGTTATTACGTAATGTAGAAATTTGGCACTTTTAATTTCGTATTTTTAAATTTTTAATTTTTCAATTAAAAAAATTTTTTTTTTTGTTGAAATTTTTCACTCCTTGAATTATTGGAGAATTATTTCTTTCCGCTTCTAATGTATAAATATGCTCTGTAAAAACAAAAGTGACTTACTAACCTAACTTCCACATGCTCCAACAACAATCAAACAATCGTAGTCCATACATACATTTAGTTGAGAGCATGGCGTTCATTTATAAAAACAACAAAGCTATCGACTGCGCTGAGCCGAGCAGTTCCACAAGCAGCACACCGACTATTGACTTTTTCGAGCAACAACACAGCAGTGTTGTTTAGCAAACTATGTAAATGTGTATGTGTCCTAAATGTTTCGATTCCAAAATGACCAAATATGATTTGCTGACTTTGAGCGCAAGATAGAGAGAGAGAGAGAGGGAAAGTATCTTAAGCGTGAAATAATTAATTAACAAGTATTGTGAATTGCTTTTCATTATGTACTATTATTCTTTTTTTATTTTAAATTTTTGGTAATGTTTATATAGAAAAATAATTAAAACTAATTTAAAATGCTGTGAGAAAGAAATTACAGACAGTGATACAACTCTATTGTAATTGTATAAATGAAAAAATATATTATAAAAAAAACTTGCAGAAATGTGCAAAAATGAAAAAACAAAAAACAAAAAGCAAAATTTAAAGTTTTGTTAGGCGTTTAGCGGGGCAAATGGTTGACTTAAACGCGGACATGCCGCACTACTAGGAAGTGTTTTGTAAGTGCGTTTCAGTAGCTAATATGAAATTGTAGATTTATTTTACTGCATTTTTTCCATTTTTCACTACCACAGTCACATTCACAACTGAAATTATATACATACATACATACATATTAATTATATATTATAAATATTATAAAACATTGCACTATTTTAGGCAGCAAATGAAACAATTTAAACAAGATATTGTAAATTACTGTCAAAAATTCACTAACAGATCTCTCTCTAAGAGCACAAAACTAAAAAAATATATATCTTAAAAAAAAAAAATAAAAAAAAATTTAATAAAAACATTTTAAAACTATAAAACGCAAACTCTACTATGCACCAGCGACACAATCATACAAAAAACTATCAACTTATTATAAAAAATGCAAACATGCTGTAAAAAACATTCAATTATTTGAACAAGAAATTTTATAAAATGCATCACTACTACACACTGTTACATAGCATAAACTAAACGATATATTATATATTAAATATTAAAATATGAAATTTAATTATACGCCGTCTCCACCGTGTTAAGAAAAAAATAATAATTTTTATAGTTTACATTTTTTTATGCTTTTTTTTTAATATTTAGATTATAATTTTTTTCATTTTAAATATTTTAAAATTTTTTTTTTTTTAAATATTTCTTGTTTAAAAATTTTTTTTTTTAAAAATTCCTTTTTTTGTGTTTTGATAATATATTTTTAATTCTTTTTTTTTTTGTGATATTTTTGTTTTTAATTTTTTAACAAATTTGTTTGCAATTCTTTTTTGTTTTGATACAATTTTTTTAATTCTTTTTTTTTGTGTTTTGATAATATTTTTTTAATTCTTTTTTTTGTGTTTTGATAATATTTATTTAATTCTTTTTTTTTTGTTTTGATATTTTTGTTTTTAATTTTTTAACAAATTTGTTTGCAATTCTTTTTTATTTTTATTTTTTTTAATAGCCTTTTTTATGTTTTAATAATTTTTTTTTTTTAATTTTTTAATAATCCGTTTTTTTAATTTTTTAATAATGATTTTTTTTAAATAACTTTTTTATACTTCCTTTAATTTTTTTATAAATGTTTTGTTAATCTTTTTATAATTTTTTTTCTTTTTAATTTAATATTTTTAATTCGTTTCAGACATATTTTTAATTTTTTTAATTCTTTTAAAATATTTTTTTATTCTTTTTAAATATTTTTATTTACAATTTTTTATGTTTTTTTGGTTGATTTTTTTTATAATTTTGTTAATTTTTTCTTAAAATCGAAAAATATTTTGTAATAATTTTTTTTTTATGATTAACTATTATTTGATTAATATTCTTTAATAAAGTTTTTTATTTCAAAATTTTTTTTAATATTTATCTGTACTTTTTAAAATTTTTTTTTATTTTGATTTAATTTATTTTTTTATTATTATTTTTTGTAAGCAGTCGCATTTGCTCAGAACAAGAAGCAGCCTAAATTTTTCATATATTCTAATTTCTCACACGTTAATAGTTTCCGTTATATCGCGTGCAGTTTGCAGCACGCAGCGAGCTTTTGTACAGTTTCATTTAAAGCTAAATAAGTAATAATCATTAATTGTTAGTGACAAAAATTAGCTTTTAATTTGCGCCTTATTTTTCGTAATTATATAAATATGTATGTACACTTACATATATACGAGTATATGTATAAGCATTTGCAACTAATTATAAGTGAGTTTAGTTTAAACAAAGCAAAAAATATGTTGTGAAATATGTATGAAACAAAGTAAACATTTAACTAAACTAACAACAACAAAGCGCTAAAGCAAGCATTTGCTCAAAAACAAGATAAGTTATGTTTGTATGTATTATTATGCTATGCTATGCTATGTTAATTGTAATGCGCTTTATTTATCTGTTAAAGCTTATGTAATTTGTACACTAATTTAGCAAAAAGTAATTAGCAAACAAATATATAACATTTAGATAAATAAGCAGCGCAGTTAAATAAATGAAATAACAGTAAATAATTATATAACTATAAAATTATAATTACATAAGTCAGACATAATAACTAACACTTGCAAGAAATACTTTAAAATGTGACTACCACATCTGTAATTTATTTACATATGCAGCCCCAACCCCGCGCCACTAGTTTCCAATATACGTATGTATATGTACGCAACTGTAAAACTGTAAAAAGTAAAGAAAGTGTATAATTTACCATAATTTGTACTATAAAACGTTTAAGTATGTATGTAATTAAGTTTAATTAGCATTTAAGTTATGATTTTTTTGTACGTCAGAAAGTAACGGTTATTTATGCTTTTGCTCTTGTGTGTCTTCAGTGCGCCTGCGCGCCACGCTTTACGTTTGCACCTAATTTAATTTTATATATTTCGCAAAATATTCTTAAATTAAGCCCCACTGATGGGTGTGGCACGTCGTGTAAAAAAAAGCGAAATTAACTAATATTATTGATCTATGAAATACCATTTTTTTTTATAAGTAAACATATATTAATATACAACTATATATATATATGGCAATATATATATTTAAACACAGATATATATATATATATATATATGTATTTAAACGATTGTAATTTACTAAGGAGCGCGCGTTTAACGGTAAATTGTATGGTAGACGCATTCAAGTCGTAGGCGCAGTGGCGAGCGTTGCGCGCAACAGCTACAAAAACAAAAGGCATAAAATTCCAAAATTTTTAAATGAAATGAAATGAAAATTGAAATGTATCACCTATACATACACACACATATATGTATATTAATAGTATATATATGCATATAATATATTATTATATAAATATATTATACGGTAAGAAAATGATGAAAATAAATATTAATAAAATCGAATAATGAAATTGTATTAAAATTTGCCACAACTACAAACACTTGGATAGTGTGCGCGTTATGGAAAAAAACACATGGAAAAGTACATAGACACTCGTATGTAATGCAGTTTAACTGAGTGTGCGGAAAAGAAAAATTTAATAAATAAACTAAATAAAAAAAAAAAACTAAATAAAAAGTAACTGTTTTGTATTTTTTATTTTGAATTTAAAGAGGTTTCAAAGACTAATTGGTAGCGTTACTGAGTCAGACGTTGCGCTGGTTTTCAAGCAGATCACAGTTTTTGCCAACACTAACCCACTGACTCCTACTTCTGTAGACCATAGTGCGAGAAGACAACTGATCGTCAAGGAAAAAGTGACTGAAATTTGCTTGCTAGTACTTTGAACAAAATTTGTTGTATTCTCGGTTAGGTCGATCTAAACTTTCGAAGTTTTGTTGAAAAGGATTCATAAACTTAAATCACGAAATCAAGTTGATCGACAGCTTTAGCTAACACGGGATCATCAATAACAACGGACGGAGGAGCAGAAGCGGATCACAACGATAACCAATCAATAGCTGTGAAGCAATGGAGTTTAACGAAAGATGAAGTACAGAAAATCACCCAGTACGACGATGTCGCTTGACTGGAATCCCCAGGGAAGCAGAAGTCGCAGTCGACCAACATTAACAGAAGGTTAAAGTCGGACACGCTTCATACCCAAAATATTAACCAAAATGTGTTGTGCCGATCCATAAGAGAATTTGAGATCACATGCTATCTCTCTGATGTCAACACGACGATTTCGAAGCATTATTTCTTTTACTTTTTTGATGTTATTGTACAATACGAATCGCTTGAGGAAAGTTTTTTATTAAATCAATCTGCTTATACCGCGTTTATAAGCAAAGCTGGCAGCGGCAGGAGTAAAAACAAAGGATCATTGCTCCCAATTAAAATACAATCAGCTGGACGATCATTATTAACGCATCAGCTGTACGGTCACAAATGAGAATATTACACATTAAACTCAAAAAGATACTCTCGGAGAGAGTCAATGGTTTCTTTTTTGCTGTAGAGGTTGTTATCTCATTGAATACTATGTCACTCTATAAGAGTCGACATAAGGGATTGTGGATTATTTTTCAACCAACTTCTGATATTCATAAATCATAAAGCAACTTCCACTGCAAATACTGCTCATCACTTTAAAATAAACATTGTATTTTTGTTTAATTTTTTTTAATATTAATTTTTCACTTTATTTAATTTAAATTCTTTAAATATATTTATTTAAGTATTTATATGTCATTTGGGTGTATGCTTTTAAGCCATCAATATATATTCTTTATTACTTAGTGAACATATTTTCTTTATTAGCTACATTTACATATATTATATGATTATATAAGTATGCCTCAGCTGAGTGTCACACTTATGATCTCTCATACTGACCACTATTTATTTATACACTACAAAAAACATTTCTGTGTAGTATTTATGAAGTATTCGTATATTTGATTATGAAACATTATTATTTAAATACAACTTTTCCAATCATTAAATACAGTTATTTGATCATTTTGTGATCACTCGGTGACTATGTGACTGTTCGCCTTCGTTTATGGTGTTATTTTTTTACAGTGTCAACATGTTTTGTTGAAGAAATGACAAATGAAAAGTTAAAAATAAATGTCTAAGTTTGCTATTAATTTAGAAAAGATTATAAATGCTTTCAGAAAATGTATTTGAATTTGAGGAAAATAGATTTTGATGGCTGCTGGTATGCATATTTACAACGGAAAGCCTTATGAAAACCACATATCGGGCAGATGAGTACTTCGTCTACTTCAACATTGCAATAATAGCTTGAGATTGCTGTTAGTTTTATTTAGTGGCTAATAGTGGATCATTGTACGCACTGCAGATAAAC